CGTCAAACCCCCCCGTCATCCACTTCTCCTCATGCATGGCCAGGAGCGCGTCCACCCAATCACGATCTTGTTGTATTTTGCGTAGCGAGTCTACGCCTAGGTTTTGTGACGGATGCCCATTCCCGGTGGTGGAGGAGGATTGCGGTTCCAAATCGAAACCGTCGGTGGAGTGCGTATGGAGGGTGAATGCGAAGAGTAAGTGGTCAAGCCGATGAATCGCATCATGAATGCCCAATCCGTCGTACTCCGCCACCGACAAACCCACGCATTGCTCGAAGGTCGATGTATTCTTATTTTTGGGTCCGGGGCCCCATGGGTTCGTCAAGGACTCGGTTTTGAGATGGCGACCTAGTGTTGAATTATCAGCGGACATGTGTAGAAGACTAAGGGGGTGGCAGTGTCGGAAGTCAGTGGCAATGTCGTCGATCTTTCCTTGTTGCACGTGAATATTTTCCTAGCCTTTTTTCAACCTTTTTCCCGCAAATTCTGCATCGCCATGCGCAGTACTCGATGTACTGGTTACAGCGCTTGCGGAAAAGGTCGGGCCGCTTGCCAGTGCCCGCGGAAGGTGTCCCAGACGCGTCGATAAGGTTGTATTCTACTCCTCTACAAAAGAAAAATATCTCCCAGATGTCGAAGGAGTCGTGAAGAAGTTGGCGTAGATTGGGCGTAGACAGAGCCGGTACCGCAGCATATGGCCGGATTGTGAGGACAGAGTCCGATCCAGGGGTGGTATGGGTGCTGGGAGTGGATGGTCATTGTTGGGGGGTCTCCCTCGCACTTTTCCATCGGTAGACACGTAGAAAAAGCGCGCCTGGCGCGGGCGCCGGGAGGTCGACGCCAAGAGGTCTCAGATCGTTGAATTCGACACACTGATCAACATACGTAACAAAATCACGTGTTTGACTCCTTTTGGAATTTGCGTCAGCAGATATCTGTCATTTGCATTGGACGAGCGTTCAGCGCTCCTCGCGGGCTCTTCGCGGGTAGGAAAATGTATAGCTATTGAAATACATCTTCTTCAACTACTGAGACTGTCCTACCAGCCGTGATATGGTACCGTATGTGCAGTATCTACATTGCTGGCTGTTGTCGCCTGAGATGTGTTCACGGCGCAAAAAGGTGGCGACGGTAAGGGCTAGTTGTGATTGGGAAGTGTTTCAAACATGACAGTAGGGCCACCATGGCCCTACTGCAGTGGAAGAGTTGAGGAGCGTGCGGTTTGGTCGAGTGGCGCGAAAAGACCGTGAATTGATGGGACTTCCGCATTTGGGGGGGGGAGGGGGGGGGGCCTTACGTATGTTGATCAGTGTGTCCGATTAGGCGATCTGAGGCCTCTTGGTCGACGCGACGGACGAGTAATGGCACGTGCTCACACGGCTGTCTCCATTTGCGTCCACCTTCCACATTCGGAACTCGGCTCACTGAAGGCGCTTAGGCTGGCCTATTTGCATCGGACCAGGAAAGTGTCGCATCGCATCGCAAAAATCTCCGATTTGTAATGTCAGCGACTTTGCGTCGCAATTATTTTGAGCAAGGTTAGGGAGGACATGATGGATGATAGGTAAGTAATATAAGTAACGGATGCCAACTCTAAATACGCGCGTGTGGGTGTGTATGTACATCTCCTCCTCAGTTGAGGCCGTAGTTCCCTCCGCCCGCGTCGCGCGGGAAGCGCCCGCCTCCTCCGCCGCCGCCCCGACCTCCACCACCGCCGTATCCGCCCCCGCCCCCGCCGCGGCCGCCTCCGTAGCCACCGCCACCGCCACCGCCTCCGTAGCCACCACCACCACCACCACCACCGCTACTGCCACCGATCCCAAACCCACCCGTCCTCTGCGCAAACTTCGGCGCACCCCCACCCTCCCTCCCTCCAAACGCGCCCCTCGCCTCCCCCCCGCCTCTGCCCCCACCCTGATAAGGAGACTTCCTATACCCATTCCCCTGAGCCTGATACCTCCCCGTCCGATACTCCTCCGCCCCCTCCACCCCCTCCGCTGCATCCTCACCCTCCGCCCACTTCGGCGTCCGTTCAACATCCCGCGTCCGCACCGTGCCGCGCCCCATCCACGGCGCGGTCGCGCCCCCGCTGCGCGCCCGGTTCTCGTAGACCGGCATCTCCCTCGCGGCTTTCCCGAAGTGCTTCGTGCGCCCGTCCGATAGCCCGAGCTTCTGGAGGAACTGCACGCTCACGTGCGGCGGCTCAGGGAGGCCGCAGGCGCCGGTGCTCCAGTCCTGGCACCCCTGCACGATCACGGGCTTCTGCACGCGCAGCTCGGGGCTCTTGCTGAGGTAGTACCCGAGCAGCGACATGAACGTCTCCCGGATCGCCTCGGGGTCCAGCCGGCCCAGCAGGCCCCCGACAGCGCGCTCGAGCGGGGCGCCTACGATGCTGGCGACGTGGGACTGGAAGAGGCCCTCGCGCACGTTAGATTTTCCGGCAGCGAAGAAGGCGGTGGGGTCCGCGTCGAACGTCTGCGCGAGCGTGGCGGTCTGGTCCGAGAGCTCGTTGATCGCGAGTGGGCGGAGGGGCACGTCCGTGAGCTGCCAGGTGACGAAGCCGATCTCCCAGGGGAGTAGTACGAGGTCGCCGCGACCGGCGGTGCCCGCGCGTCCCGTGCGCCCGACGCGGTGGATGTAATGCTCGCGCCCGGAGGGAATGCCGACCTGCACGACGCGCGTGACGCCGGGGTAGTCGACGCCGCGCGCGGACACGTCCGAGGTAATGAGCACCGTCGCGCCGCCCTTCGCAGCACGGAACGCGTCGGACACCTGCGTCCGCTTCTCCTGCGTGCGCTTCGAGTGGATCTCGTACACGCGCGTGTTCTTCCCTGCGGGGAGCGCGGTCGCCGCGAGCGCGTTGATGAGCGTCGAAAAGAGCTGCGTCATCTTCGTTGTGGGGAGGAAGATGATGACCTTGGAGGAGCCCGGGTTGGAGAGCTGGTCGTGCGCGATGAGCCGCAGGATGTGCGGGAGCTGCGCGGAGGCGGAGGGGAGAATAGTGTGGTACTGCGAGACGTGGGCGTGCACGGGGGACGCCTCGCTCGTGACACAGTTAATGAACTTGTGGTTCGGGGCGAGGGTCGAACGAGCGACTTGCTGGATTTCCTTGGAGACGGTGGCGGAAAAGAGGAGCGTCTGGCGCTGTGGGACGGGCGGGATAAAACGTTTAATGTCCTCGATGTCCTCGCGGAAGCCCATCTCGAGGAGCGTGTCCGCTTCGTCGAGAATTAGCTGAAGAAAAGTTAGATTAGAAGAGAGGGGAAGGGGAGTCACCCACCACGTTAGTCTGCGCGATGGCAGCCCTCACGTCGGGCTCCGACTCGAGCAGGTCGCGGAGGCGGCCGGGGGTGCTGACGACGATATCCTTGCGGCCCTTCATCCAGTCGCGCAGCTGTATGCGCTTGCTCGTCCCGCCCGTAAACAGCCGTACCTCGAACTGAGGGTGGTGGTGCACGAGCCTGAGCGCCTCGTTGGCGATCTGCGTCGCGAGCTCGCGCGTCGGGCTGATGATGAGCGTGCCCACGGTCCTTCGTGCAAAGCGCTGCTTCGCGAGCTCGGGGCTGCCCGTGTCGTTTTTGTCGGCGACGTACTCGTTAATGCTTTTAATGCGGGCCTCGATGGCGGGGACGAGGAACGCGAGGGTCTTGCCGGTGCCGGTCTTAGCGCGCACGAGGAGGTCGCGGACGTTGGTGGGATTCTCGGCGTCGTATGGCTCGGCAAGCTGCGGGAGCATGGAGAGGACCTCGGATTGAACGGGGGTCATCTTCTCGAGCTTGAAGGGCTTGACGGTGATGGCGTCGAGCGTCGCTTGCGTGACTTTGCCCTTGAGGCTGAGGAAGGGGGTGCCGGCGCGCGCGGCTGCAACGGACGTGAGTATAGGTGGAGGAGTGTGTTACCGCAAAACTCACGCTCAGCTTGTGGGATCGCTGTACAGATGTGAATATAGGCTACAGGATGAATGGTAGTGGAGACTCACGGGCAGCTTGCGTTGCTTCTGCAGCATAGCAGCGCCTAGCCGAACGGAGGACCCGGGAGACCGAAATGTGGGCTACAGGGTGTGTGAGCGAACAGCGGGAAAACGGGAAAGCAGGAAAGCCTGGTAGCAGATTAAAGCAGCATCTGATACATAAGAGCGGCCAACAGCACCGAGGAGTACTCGTGTATTCGCTCACAGAAGACCAAGAAAGAAAGGGCTCACCATTTGCGGCCTGTAAAGGTCTTGCGCACAGGGCGCGGGAGGTCGAGGCGATACATCCTGGCGATGAACGCGACCATATAGAGGACACCATCGTGTCCGTTACCGTGGAAAGGACCACAGAAAGGAAACGGAAAGAGGCGGGGGAGGAGGAAAAGAGGTGAAAAAAATCTGATCGCCGCACGTGAGCTTGTGATGAGCGTGACACCGCGTCTCTTTTTACGCGTCGATCGTCGCGTCTTGGTCGGGTCGGCGAGCTGCCTGACTTTTTGCTGGATACAACGACCCTGTTTCTGATAATTGATGGCTGGTTTAACTCGGATTTTTGCCTCCTGCCGCCAGTCAACTTCTGGACCAATTCTGATTAGTATTTTCAACCAACGCAAAACCAACGCAAAGTAAACACCTGAAGTCAGCTGAAGAGTTAAGGCTAGTAGCAAGCACATTAAACAAGACCTGGTAGCACAACTGGTCCGTGGATCTGCCCCATATAGAGGTCAGGCTCTTTAAAATGTCAAAAGATCCGCGTTCCAGCCGCGGTCAGGTACAACGAGCGAGGAACGAGTGTTCACGTTGTAGTGTCTGTCTAGAGAGACTAACGGTCAGATCCTTCATCTTGTGTATCTTTTTCAACGAAATTTCAGCGCGCACCCTCATAAAATTGTAGGCAATAATCTGAATTCCACCGCAGCTACTAGCGAAGTTGAAGCTGAACATCAATCCCCGAATTTGTGCTTAGACTCCAGTTCAAGTTCAAGCTCATTAATATTGATATAAACAAAGATCCAACATAATTTTGTCAGGCCTGATAGCACAATTGGATAGTGCGTCTGCAACACATACACGGCTTCCGCCATTAATATGCAGAACATCTCTGTTCAATTCAGGGTCAGGCCATCTTTTGATTTTGCTCTTCTTTTCTGGAATTAACCCTCACCCCCGGTGAGGTTTCTCGCAGCAATATCACCTCCACCTCACGTCTCCCGAAATCTAGCCGGCTGAGGGGGAGGGACTCAAATAAACACGTCAAGTTGAATCCAAGTTGATGCCAGATGATTACCAGTATACTGTATTCGCCCTCCTCGTACCAACTCCATTAGACGTCGAAAACTAGTACATACGTACACAATGAAACTCCCACCTAGTAGTATGCAGTCGAAAGGAAACGTGCAAAACCCCAACACATTAATATTCCCGTCACGGGGAGCAAATCTAAAATCTAAAATCTGCGTGAGGGATACGTCAGGTAATCAACCAACCAGGTGCACCTCACGGACGGCGCGTTGTCCGGGCTGGGGACTCTGTTCTGCGGGAAGCTCGCGTGAATCGCACCTGCAAGAACCGGGGAAAGCGTGACGACAGAAAGATGTTGCGAAAAAAACCTTCAGGACCACGCAGACGAACTCAGCAACTTGATGTGCAGCATTAGCCGATACATTGAGTTCCGTCGCGATTTTACAAATTATGGACAACAGTCAAGACTATATCCGGCCGCAAGTGCGAGGCAATCGTATTCGGAATCGGTTGAGATGAGGAGTGAGTATTGATTTCCTTCCGCAATTTCAGCTCGCGAAGCATCGTACGAAGCCTTGCGGCAGCCGGAGAACCGCCTCAGTAGTGATCTGGGAGGTAATATCATACATTACCCTTTTCCAACCAACCGCGAGTTTGGGTCGAATTCAGTGCGCATTAATCCAAAGCAGATGGGGTCAATACAAGCCCTCATTGCAGTCCCACGAGTCGAGGGCATTAAAAGCCGGCAGTTGGGAGCCTCAGAATATAAGTAGCCAGTTCCAGGTCGGAAGAGGTTCGAGACAAGGCGCAATTCAACTCCGCCCGGAGATTGCCTCGCTTGAAATCAACCATTGATCGCCGCCAAATTGTGACTCATTTTCACCTTCTTCGCCAGCATGTGGTATTCCGGCATCATCCGAGATTGAACTAGTACTTGTTAAAGCCGTCGTAGTTATGCTTACAGTTATTTCGGGCCGCCACCGTTCAACGCGACCCTCTTCTTCGGGTGCATTACGCCAGCTAGGACGATAGCTACAAAATACGCCAGCTACGAAGCGAAATTCTCGGGATTCCTGCTGAGGGCTGGGATTTGAGCATTATAATATGATTCGGGATTCAGAAAGGACTCCAGGATGATTGTTTTCCGCATGAAATTTCCCAATTCGCCCCTCATGCCGAGCCTCTAAAAAATAGGGGAGTGGCTACTTGAAGCGATAAATCGAGGCGCAGAACGATCCGAAATATTGAGTCTTTGGCGCCCGCCCAGCACACTAATTGGATGAGACTCCAGAGCGGAGATCCAGCAAAACCACCCTTAGTCGCGCCAGTTAAAATATATACACTATTGATTTGAGGTTACATAAACGCGCCATTGAATTTTGTGAGCATAGATGTAGGACAGAGAGAATAGATAGTTCCTAGACTTTCAATCAAGGCTTCAGAACGAGGAGATACCCAGGCGTCTGCGATGCCGTCTCACAGGGGCTCCGTGCGCGGCCTGTGGACAAGTTGCGGGCAATCCGAAAACACACGGCAGCAGAAGCGCAGCCCTGGCCCCTTGAAAGCAAGGATGACATAGTCGGTCCAGACGGTGCCACCCAAGCCGTGAGCGCCCTTCTGCAGTGGGCCGCCGCCCCTCCGAACGGATGCGCCGTCTTTCCTGTGCTCGGAGCGATGGCGTGCTTCTGGGAATCATTTGCGCTGGAATTTCGCATGCCGCAGGCTTTTTCTCTCGCTACGGACCACATGGAATTCGCGCTGAACCATTACGACGCGCGCGCGGCTCAGAATAGCATCGCGAAGAGCTTCTACCTACCCCTCATTGCCTGCGCAGACGGATTCTGTGGCGCCCTCCTGGAGCGAGACCCAGACGCAACCGTCGCGGCCATATTAGAAGCACTCCCGCGCTAGCGCACATGGCTGATTCGATCCAGCAGATCTTGCATGCTATTGGCCCGATGAAGCGCGGCGGGTACGCTGACTACTCGATCCTGTGGTTCAGCCAGATGGAACAGCTGGATGATCAGATGCACATACCGCGGGACAAGTACCCCGCGTCTCGGTATCTTATACTCCCCACGGTCATCCTAGCACTTATCGGTGGGAGCGCCGTCGGCGTTGTCAAAACTGCGGAGACAACAACTCGGATCTTCCTGATCCTCTTGCTCATCATTGTCTTGTTTTTCCTCACGCCGGCACTGGTTCTAGGCCCGCGTCCACGACCCCTTCCGTCCGTGGCGCCGGCCGTCGACTCTCAAAGGAAACTCCAAAGTCGCCTGATCCAAATCCGCAACATGAACAAGTGCATGCATCTCATGTGCACACGACCCATTGCCGTCAAGACCGCCGTCTGCGTCAAATGTGGGATTGTGCACTACTGCAGTGCACAGGTGTGGATGCTCGCCTTCCTCACACGCTTTACTCACTTTTTCCTTCCCGTTCAGTGTCAGCGTCCCGCATGGCGTGCACCGGAACTCCCGCATAAGCCCCTGTGCGATGTGATCCACACGCTGCGCGCAGTGCTGCAGTTGGAGGACAGCGCAGAGTGGGACAGCTGGGTGATCCGCACGAAAGCCACTGACATGCAGTGCAGTTCCAACTTGCACCTCATTAAGAAAATTGCCGATATGCTCTAGGCATTCATAAGGCCTAAACGTGAGCCGTCGAATGAGCTGGAGTGGGAGTGGGCGGAGAGCCTGTGACAGTGTTTTCCGGCGCGTTTTACTGTTTCCCGGCGAACCATCCCCCACTTAGTTAAAGATTGTTCAGTTTCCTTTCAGATCCTTCCCGCCGTCGAAATCGTGCGAAAGGATTTACGCCTCTAGTTCTTCAATGATAAGCATGGGATGGCATTCAGCATCTTCAACAGGCTGATGCAGGGCCTTTCATTGCAATTGTATACCTGATTGTTCAACTTGTTCAACCTCCAGAGATTGCCGGTTGATTACCGCCTTTTGTTAGCCGACACACTCTTTGTGCCCAATTTGAAACTGGGTACAATCGACCACGGCCACAGGCTACTCTTTATGCCACCACGGTCTGTCGCCACTCATCGACCAGTTTTGGGCCAGCTCTCACTCCACCTTCCTCAACCTCTCCCTCCGACTCCATCCGGATGTTTCTTGACGGCCTGCGAAACCGACTTTCCGACCTCGACGTATCCATACGTCAACAGGAGCGCCTGCTGCTGAAGGAACATCTGCTGCAGCAGCTCAAGGACGAGAGAACGGCGATCCAGCTTCAGCTCGATCGCTTCGTTTATCCCATTCTAACCCTTCCTCCCGAAATGACGTCGGAGATCTTTCTGCAGTGCCACTCTCCTCAGCATTGTAGACCGGATCCTTTCGAAGCCCCGATGCTTCTCTTGCAAGTGTGCAGGGCGTGGAGGGCCATAGCGTGCTCTACTCCTGCGCTATGGGACAGCATTTACGATGGCGGCTTTGAGTGTACGGCCGAAGAAATGGATCATACTTTCACAACCTGGTTCAGTCGCTCCGGAACTCGCCCTTTATCCCTCGGGCTCATGTACGAGGGTAGTAATACAAAATCACTCCGGCGGTTCATCCATCGGCATGCATCGCGCCTGGAATGCCTTGATTTGTACTTAAACGAGGACCACTTCGCCCACCTGGTCGACATCCAACCATTCCCTCTTCTTTGCGACCTAACCCTTGCTTGCAATTCCGACGGTTCGATGTTAAAAATCGATCCGCCCGAAACCCCGATGGCACTATTCGGCGGCGCTCCTCTCCTCCGCCACCTTTATCTGCAGTATATCGCACCAACGGCGATCCTTCTGCCATGGCCTCAACTCACTAAATTCACTGCCGAATGCGTTCGTCTTCAGGAATGTTTGGATGTTCTGCGATTGGCTACATCCCTCTCCGAATTCTGTTACACGAGGCCGCTGAGGGATGCAGAGGATGGATCCCCGATGTGCCACTCCGGTCTGAGCTCGCTTATAGCAGGTGTTAAGCGCGGCGTTGGACCCGGCATCTGGAGATTTCTCACCCTTCCGGGTTTGCAGGCCTTCGAGTTGGCAAACCGAAAAGGTGAATGGTCCGACGAGTTCGACATTGCAGTTCTCCAGTTTCTATCTCGGATATCCCCTACACTGCAGACGTTCACTGTCGATGTGCATCACCCGGTACCCGTTCTGTGGTTACAGGCCACGACGCACCTCACAACCCTCGAACTCGTCCGCGCAGAGTTTGCGACCGAGGTGATCCGTGCACTGGACCGTCGCAATGCCCCAGATTTCCTACCGAAGCTCCAGAATCTCACTTGTACGCAGTGCAAGTCGGACCAGGTGGACGTCGAGCTGTTGGATGCGTTGAACTCCAGATGCATGGACGAGGGGCCGGAGGACTCGCGTGCGAGACTCCGGTCATTCCGCCTGATCTGGCCATGGGATTTCGATGCCGCTGCGTTTGGAAGCCTTCCCCTCCAGCATGTGGGGCCGCTCCGCTCGTTGGTATCGCGCGGAATGGATATCTACATTGGTGGTGGCTCCGAGTCCGATCGTAACACTTTTTACTAGCAGCTCGTTGCGTTACTTGGTATGCAGACCTCCCTGCTGTCTTTCCAAGCTGATTCCCGCAGATAGCTTGCGTTAAATGCATAATGCCACAAATTCATGTGTGGTTTTAAAGGGATTGAGCGGGTGTGGAACAGCGAAATTATGTTGAAGTGGTAACTTAGCGTATTGTCCGAAGGACCTTCTGCCTCCGAGTTTGTGTTTATGAAATGATTGAGATTCTAGTGTCAGCCTGAGGACAGATAATTTGAACGGCGTACATTAATAATTGAATTTCTGCGTGAAACAGGCGCGTCAAATGTTCGAACGCGGAATGAGGTGACAAATCACGTTCTGTGACTGATCG